GTTCACCTGCCGAGTGGTGCACGATGCCCAGGAGCCCATCAGCAAGACGGCTGCCCTGTGGATCCCTGCCCCAGCCAGGGAGGGGGAACTCGGCGACTTGTCCCAGACAGGCAACGGTGCGTGAGAGCCGCTGGGATGCGGTCCCTGCTGGGGCAGCTTTAGGATGTCACCCCCCGAGAAAGCTCAAAGTCCCACCAGAATCCTGTTCAAGGACACGAAATCTCCATATTGCTGGGCTGGGGCGGGGGTGATGCTGGCCTGTACCAAGCTGTCATCCTCGATGCTTCAGGTGTCACCAGGCCAACCCCAGCTGTAAGGCTGCAGGGACTCGGTCGGTGCCAGCGTTTTCAGGTACTGAAGTGACCTTTTTCGTTCATGTTTCAGCCAATTTGCTCACCATCTATATCGTGGTGGGAGTGATCTGCACTGTGCTGGCGCTGCTGGTGGCTGCAATTCTTTACCTCATCTGGGCAAAGCAGAGCAAGGGTAAGGAAACCAAGTGCCCAGCAAGGAAGCAGCTGCTCCCGACCCCCTTCTCCCTCTCTCTGGAGCATCAGTGCCTGGACGCTGAGTTCACGGCTGTGCTGCTGCAGCTCCTGCCCAAAGGGGAGGACGGCGCAGAGCTGACCGGGTTGTTTGCAGGCTGCAGGGAAACCTCTGCCTGGTGCCGCCATGTGCCAGTGCCTGCCAGGAGCAGGGTCAAATGTGCTCGTTATTCCCTGTGCCTAAAACATCTGACACCCCCCTGCACCTCCTGCTCTCTGCCAGGAGCAGTCCTGCAGTAAATGGAGTGAAACTCCAGAAAACTGCAGCCACTTGCCTCTGGGAAAAGATGCGGATCCGCTCTTGCAGCGGTCTCTGCGCGTGGGCTCGCGTGCCTGGTGAAGCGAGGCGGGGGGGTTACGTTGTTTCCTGAACTATTTCTTTCCTGAACTATTTCTTTTCCAGCAGGTAAAAGCTCGCCATCTGCTAGGTAAGTGCCAATCTCCTCTAGGCACTGAGTAACCCGCAGGCACTCTGAGCTGGACGCCTCCAGCCTGCAAACGGGGCCCCTTGGGATCCGGATGGAGCCGGATCCCGAAAAGCTTGCTGTGCAAAGGAAGGCAGGAGCGCAGGCTCTGCTGATCTCCCTGGTTGCGGTTCCGCCCCTGTGGTGATCTTGTACCCAAATGTTTGGCTTTTGGCGAGGCTGAACAAGTTGGGTGGGAGCCGGGTCTCCAGCCTGCAGACATATAGCTGGACCAGCACGCGAGCAAATGCTCGCTTGGTGAGGACTTGTCCTGCTCGGGGCTGCGGCAAGGACCTTGTTTTGCATCTGAACCCCCCAGCTGCTCCGTGATTCGGGACGAGGCAACAGGGCACTCGATCTGACTTGGTTTGTTTCCCCCTTTCAGGTTACACGAGCCGGAGAAGAGCAGCGAGGCCACTACCCAGGTGTGTCGCTTCGCCCCGGGGAGGGAGAGCACCAGAGGCGGGAGCCAGGGTGGTGGTTCCTGGGCGAAACATCTCGGTGGCTCCGGCGAGGGTGGTGGTTCCCCTGCGAAACACCTCAATGTCTCCACGCTGTGGCTGGAGAGGGAAGAGAGGCTGCCCCAGGGAGGGGGTAGCCATTTCCCAGCATCTTTTCTGCCTTCGTCCTCTTTCCTCCTCCTCCTCCTCCTCCTCCCAGGAAAGTCTGGGTTTGTGCTGCCTGGAGAACCAGCTGTGCGATACCCAGCCAGGCTATTTGTGGCGTTCTTTTGGCATTTGGTGACGCAGTTATGAGCAAAGTCGTGATCAGCAGCAATCTGTCCGTCCCAGCCAGCCTCTGCCAGCTCCACGTGGGCAGCGCTGGGCAGGCTGGCCCCTGCCCATCCCTGCCAGGACGGGGCGACGGGACGGCCGCAGTGGTGGCTCTTGAATCGCAGTTGTGGCTCTGAAGCCTGTCGGTGGCAGCTGTGGCTGGTGATTTGAAGACGTAGCATGGGGTAAAGCATTGCTGCGGGGTTGTCCCAGCCGGCTGCTGGCATCGTTCCCCCCGTACAAGCAGAGACCGCGCTGTCCCAGGTGGAGCCGCAGCAGGATTGACTTCAGCGTGGGGCTTTGGGTTGGTGCATGGGGTGGGCACGGGTGGCTCCTCACTCGTCCTCCCAGAGGAGGAACTCTTGGTGTCTCGCACAGGAATCCGACCCCAACAACCTGACCTACGCGGACCTGAACTTCGACAGAGAGAGGAAGAGCCATCGGCAATGCTGGTTGTGCTTCTGGAACGGACATTTAACCGGCGATGACAACCTCACCTACGCTGACCTGGACATGGTGCATCTTAGCAAGGCGCCCAAGCGGCCGGCCCCGTGCCCCGAGGAGGCCGGCTCTGAGTACGCCAGCGTCCAGATCCCAAGGAAGTGAGCAGGGCTGCAGCGGCTGCCGGGACCCCCTGCCCCGCGGGGAGCTGCCCTGCTCCTCCCCGGGAGGATTTTCTTGGAAGCACTGAGAGTGGTGTGAAGAAGCGCTGCGGTACCTGTGGTTTGAGGTGGAAATGGAGTCCGTGTTACTGTGGGAGTCAGCTCCTATCCAGAGACCTGATTTTTGGAGGCAGCTTGGTCCTGGGTCTGCTGGCTCCATCCCTTCGGGATCCCCCTGCAGCCACGGCGGCCGCTCAGCCTCGGTGCGCCGGGTTTGCCCATAAGTGGGTTAAGCCAGCAGAGCAGCGGCTCCTTGGGAAGCTCCGGCCGGGCTGAGGGGACAGGGACAGTGCCTCCACGCCGGCTCCCGTGGGGATGCCTCTGCCCGGCCGGGCTCGCACGCTTCCCGCGGCCGCCCCGACCCCGCAGGGACCGGCCGCAGCCCCCGTGCTGCCTTCTGGGGGTCTATGCTGCCAGCGCATGGAAAACAGACTCTGGCTTTAAAGGAAGGACCTCAGTGTCTGCCTCTCTTTTCCCAAGTGTCCCTTCTGCGGGACCTCGGTCTCGCACCAAGGCCAATGAGGCTGGGAAGGCCGGCAAGCCGAGCCCCCCTGCTGCGGGCTTTCCCCTGTCCTGCCGCCCACGGAGGCTCCAGAACCGCTCCCCGGCACTGAGCATCCTCCTCCTCCTCTTCCTCCTCCGCACAGCCTTGCCCCGCTCCGGGACCCACCAGTGCTGCCCCAGGCTTGTACAAAGCGCGCAGCTCCGCGCCTGCCGGGCTGCAGGTGCCCCTGCCAGCCCGCTTCCCCCGGGAGCTCCCTGCAGGTACCGTGTAACATGTTTTGACTGTTTGACATGTAACTGTTAATTTTTAGAGCTAAAACCCCATGTTTTGTGTTGTACGTGGGTGTACTGCTGTGTACTTAACACTAGAATAAGATGTGCAAAATTAAGACCGTGGCCTCAGTAAAAACTCCTAAGCCCCGTAGAGTTTAAAACAGATTTACGCAGCCCCCCCGGCTCTGCCGTGGGGGCCGGGCAGGCTCCCCCCAGCCCACCCCTGGGGACAAGTGTCTTCCATGTGACCCCTCCCCGGGCCACCGCCGGGGCCACCACCCTGTGTCGGCTCCTGCAGCACCCGGGTGGCCTTGCAAGGAATATTTACACTACAAGCTTTACAATGCAAGCAGTTATAACAATGATCTGGACTAACAAAGACACAACAGCGTCTTCAGAGGAAGACAGCATAGGCACATCACATAATATAAATGATTGGAGTTTTTTGATGTTCCGCTTTTTTTTTTTTTTTTTTTTTTTTTTTTTTTTGCTTGCAAGATATTTTTATAATAAAAGTGTAAAGTCCTGTGCTGCTCCTGCACATCAGCGGGTCCCCGTGCGCAGGGTGGTCACCCCATCAGCTGCCCTGGGGGTGAATGGTGGGGTGGAGGTCAGCATGTCCTGCAGCGAGGAGCGGGGGCCTCATCCTGCACAGCCCCGCGGGGTGCTGCAGGGGAAGATGGCAGCAGCAGGAGGAGGCTGAGGCTGGGATGGGGGCTGTGGCGATGCTCCCTCTGGGCAGCGTGAGGAGGGGAGAACAGAGCGGGGTCTGGCTGCCCGTCTGCACGCAGCCCTGCTGCATCTTCGGGTGCCCCTTTCCATGGGAGGTGAGCTGGGGTGCCCAAACTGGGGGGCACGCAGGCTGGGTGCTAGCTGCAGCCTGTGCCACGGGTGAGCTGAGCGTGCCAGTGCTCTGCAGTGCCCTCCCTGCTTCACCACCCCAGAGCTGACAGCTTGGCTGCGTCTGGCACGCAAACCGCGTCTCGCTGGGGCTGGGAACCGTGGCGCGAGGCTTCCTGCGGCGATGAGCAAGGGGGAGGGCGAGGCTATGAAGAAGCTCAAAAGGGAACTTGCTGCCCGGGCTGGGCTTTCTCAGCACTGAGCTGCTGCCAGCAGGGTCCCAGCATCCTCAAAGTGTGAGTGGGAAGGGGACAGCGTGGTCACTGCCCTCGGCATGGCTGCCCCTTCCCGGCTGGGGCAGCTGCTGGGATTCCCAAGGGAGCCTCCCCTGGGTGCTGCTGGGGGTGAGCGGGTGGCCCTGTGCCCCGCATGCACCCGGGCTGGGCTGAGCATCCCTGCCCTGCCCCTGCTCGGCACCGGGGGCCCTGCCTGCCCTGGGGCATGGCTCCGGGGGCAGCAGCCAGGGGTGCATGGGGTCCCACATCCCCTTTGGCACCAATGGTGCGGGGAGGGTACCACCGCTGCTGCCGGCAGGTCTTGCAGCTGGCACCCCTGGCACCCCAGCCCTGGGCGCCCATGGCCCCCTAGCCCACCCCCCAGGCCCCGGCTTGGGGTGCACGGTCCCCTCATGCCAAGGGCTTGATCTGCCCCAGGGAGCCCTGCACCGTGGACAAAGCCGACGCTCGGCACCCGGCACAGCTTTGGCTTTGTTGGCATCTGCCTTTTATTGGCTGCGGGGGGAGCAGGGGCCGGGGTGTGGGTCTGACCCTGCCTCGGGGGTTGTTCTCAGAAGGGGAAGCCCAGGGGGGACCCCGTGGGTGCTGGGACAGGTGCGACGCGGTGAACGGCTCGGGGAGGGGGGTCGGGGTTGTCCTCAGCCGGCTGCCTGCCCCGGTGATGGTGCCGTGGTGCGAGCGCCCATATATCAGCTGTGATGGTTTCCAGGCCCTGCTGCGCTTCTACAGCCGCAGGAGGGTGGAGGATGCGTGTCCCGGGGAGCCCAGGGGTTGGACCCACAGCCGGAGCGGTGGCACTGTCCCCTTGATGCACGGGGTCCCTAAGGGACGGGCAGGTGAACCGGAGAGGGACAACTGGGGATGAGGTCCCGTGGTCTGCTGGGGGGACGAGGCAGGGATGACGCCGGCCACGCTGGGCTGGGCAGGGGATGGGGCCGGGGGTGACGGCGCAGTCCGGACTGGCAGCGTGGGGACCGTGGTGCCGCCCATCCCATGGCCGGCTCTATAGGTCCAAGACTTCCCCTGAGTAGGCGCTGGGGTCCTCGTCCGACCGCGTGGTCACCTTGAACTGCCGCCGCAGGAAGCCCCCGTAGCGCTTCTGATTGTCCCACTTGAGCTTGGGCCGGATCCGGCGCATGAAGCCGCCGTAACGCTTGTGCAGCTCTGCCAGCTCCTGCCCCTCGGCCCCGGCACCCGTGGGCTTCTCGCCCCCTTCGCCTGCCGGCCCCGGGTAGTCCTCCGGGG